GGGAAGCTCCTCAGGGGCTCCAGCACGGTTCTGTAGGATCCAAGCTGCCACAGCCACCTATGGGACCGGGACTGTGGAGCTCTGGTGACACAGTGACCCCCAAAAAGCTCTGTCACATATTGGGTGGAGTGAACAAAGAAAAAAAAATAGGTGCCACTAAAATTTCTCTGTGGTGTCCTGATTCTTTCCCAGCCTTCGTCTTAATGGATAATTCCAGGTATTCAACCATCCCAACATCTCTTTCCCACCCATTTGTCGTGCTGAGAACTGCTCTGGGTAAAACTGCCTCACAGAAATTGCAGGGTAGCTGTGTTTAAAAAATAAAAAAAAATCATGAAATGTGTAGTTCAGAAATCATAGGGAATGCAGGAGGCTTCGTCGATAAAACAACAGGAATAGCCCAGATTTTATTTTAGACTTCTCTTCCTCCCCCCCCACCCCATTTTCATTTCAACCACTAATTACAAAGTGCAGGCTGGAGGCTCGGCAGTGGTGGAGCGAGGAAGGAGGAGACGGGTGCGGAGAGAACAATTTCACCAAGTGCTTATTTCAGCCCGAGATCAAACGAGGTGCCAGGTCCCCACTGCCACCACCAGAGCATTGTCCCAGTCAGTGGAGTTGGTTTGTCCAGGAAATAGAGGGGACAGCCAAGGGTCAACAATTATTAGGGAAATGTAATCTTTTAACGTGGTTTTCTGGATAAAAGCTCTGCCGGCCACACCATGGGCCGAGGAGCGTTTGGTGGCTGAGCAGGGATGAGTCGTGACTGGAGAGGGTGAACTTTGAGAGGGAGAGAATCAATCAGCTGTGGGAGTCGTGTGTGAATCAGCACAGAACCTCCTGATTCAGGAGGGGGTCATGGAATCCCAGAATCCCAGAATGGTTTGGGTTGGAAGGATCCTAAAGCTCATCTCATTCCAGCCCAGGGATGCCGTCTGTGTGTCCAGACATGGACCAGGTTGCTCCAAGCCCCATCCATCAGGCCATGGCCTCACCCAGGTGAATTCCCATGCTCAAAGTTGTGTTTTATCTGGGAGTTCAGGGAGTCTGAGCCTTTTTTTGTGTGTTGAGCACTGGCCACACAAGGCAGCCGAGCTGAGCAGTGTGCTGCTGTCCTGCTGTGCTGACTAACATCCGTGTGGAGTGGGTGATCCATCTCTCCTCCTCCTTGTTAGGCACTTGCTGGTAGCAGCCAAGCCCTGGAAGATGGTCAGGAGATAACATCTCTGTGGGAGTGCGTGGCAGGGTGTTTATTTCCTGCACTGCTCTTTGTCGCTCCTGGCACAATGAGCATCGGTGGTGTGGAATGCTCTGGGAGGTTTTCCCTGCTGCCTGCAGGGAATGACAACAAATAGGTCAGACGCAGATTTTGGCATCAAAGTGACCCTCAGAGGGTCTTGTCCCATGTCAATGCACTGTAGCAGAGATGAGCAGCACTTTGTGGGCTCCAGGGCAAGCTTTCCTATGATATTCTCACTTTTGCTTAATGTCAAGTGTGGAGGATACCCTGGGAAAACATGGATACACCAGGCACATGGACCAAGCAGCCAGACTTTGACAGCTGGTGGTTTATGGTGGTGTGATGTTGGGTAGAAAACTTTCCATGGTGATGAATTTCTGGAAATCCCTGGAGCAGGAGGCCTGAGACAGTGAAAGCTGTGAACTGGTTGTGAAAGTGTTCATTTTCAGCATCATCCTGTGTTTGCCTCTGCAACCCTGTGTGACCTCGTGTCAGGACTTCCTCCTTGTGCACAAGGGAGATGAATTGCACTTGATTTTTTGGGGCTTGCCTTGTCTTCCCTTTCTCTGCTGGTTCCTTCCCTCCCTCCCCTCATTGCTGCAGTAGCTCCTAAAACTCTGATGGGAACAGCTGCTTCACTTGAACACGTTCCCTTTTGCCTTGCATTCCAAATGAAGGAGCATTTAGAAGCTGAAAGTAAAGCTGATTATAACCAGACCTCACTGAGCCTCGTTATCCCTCGAGAGGAGGGCAAAAGACGCCCAACTGGATTTGTAATGGGTTAGGATGTGACTAACAGCCTGAGCCAGCCAGAAATCTCCCTGTGCAGAGACTCTCTTGGAAAACATCAATTTGTCAAAGCTAAAAGCTTCCATGGGAATCATATAGGCTGGTTTTGTCAGGAATAGCTGGTTATTTCTTCGGATCTGAGATGAAATTTCAGGTCAAAACAAGAAACCCAAAGGGATCCCCCACCCCAAAGCAGTCGGCTGGTTGGTCCAGCTGCTGGCACAGATGTTTTGGGCAGGGGAAGAGCTTTTAGCAGCAGCTGCTGTGACTTCTTGATGTCATCAGGCTCTCCAGTCAGGCTCACCATGAGCGTGGAGCAGCTCCAGTTCCTCAGGGATGCGCGGGCTTCTCGCACATTCCAACTCCCATTCATCCAACACTTGGGTGCAGCACACCACACTTCCCAAACCCCCCACTCCTCCCCTGCTGCGTTTGGACACGATTTTGGCTGGAATCTCCTGCTTTGCCCACTGCTCATCTGAGTCTCAGGAGCTCCTTGTCCAGGAGCCCAGGTTCAGGTTTGTTGGGAAAGCTGGAGCAGGTGCTGCCTTGGAGCTTTCCTCCCTGATGAGGCAGATGCTTTCCAGGAGAGGGGAAGGTGCTGAGTTTGCAGCAGGGACCAAGGGATCTGTCACCAGACACTGCATCAAAGACGGCCCCACTGCTCCCGTGCCACAGAGAGCTCCTAAACAGGAAACTGCTCCAAACCAGAGCCCTCCCTGCTGCCATTCCTGCGAGTGAGGCCCCTCCATCAGGGTTGTGCTGTCTCCACTCTGGCTGTTGTGCTCTGTTGTGTTTTCTCTCCGTAGTAACGTGCCAGTAGCTCTCTGGGGAGTGAGGCCAGCCCATGGCAGGCAGCGAGAGCTCCTTGGGACATCTCGTCCTCTCAGCCCACCCCACACGCAGCTTTTGCTTTTTCATTTCCGCGCTCTTTGGCTCAGCAGCAGAAGACCGGAGCTGCCTCCTGCCCCCTGCTCCTGGGAGATGGGGCTGGCATTTGTTCTCTGCCCTTGCTCCCAGGGAATGGCTTTGCAGCAGTGTTCTAAGGAGGCTTTGGAGAGCTCAGGGGCTGCTCCAAAGGCTGGCATGCAGAAATTGGCCTTGTGGGCAGCAGCCATGGCCCTACCCGGGTCCTGGGCACACCGAGGGCTATCGTGGGATGGGGCTGGTGCAGGGGGACAGGGAGAAGGGACAAGGGATGGTCCTGCAGTGCTGCAGCCTCCCTGCTGGGAGGTGCTTTGTGTGTGCCAGGAGAGGGGGGCACTGAAGGATGGGCTGGGGTGGGGTGCCTGTGTCTGTCCAGGTGCCTGACATGCCCCTTCCTCAGCTGGGATGGGACTGGGCTCTCTGCTTGGGAGCCTGGGGACTTGTGTCTGGCATGAGGGCTGAGCCCACCACTGCTCCTGGAGAGCAAAGTTTAGATCTGGTCCCTTTCCCAGCTCCCAAAGAAGCTTCCCCTTCCCTGAGCCCCCTGTGAGTGGAGGGAGGGACAGAGGGTGAGCAGGGCACCAGCTGTGCTGCCATCCTGCTCCTCTCTGGCTGTGCTGATTTGCATTGACTCCACATCCTGGAGGGGGGTGTCAGTGAGCCAAACACCATGGGCAGGCTCTTGGGGCTCTGCTGGGCCTGCTGTGCCATCTCTGTCTGTGCAGGATGATAAACTCCTGTCCCAGAGCCCAAGGGGGTGACACAGGCTGGGGGCTGGCAGGAGGTGTCTCTTGTGCCTTGTTCTGGTGGGGTTTCTGCTTGTGCCCCTCTCTTTGGGGGTGATTGATTCAAATTGGGGCTGGGTACCCCCAGGAAGGGTCAGCAGTGCTTCCAGCTCCCCCAGCTTTCCTGGGGTGTCTGGGGTACCCCACAGCACCGGGGCTGGCTGTGAGCTGCAGGGCCCACACCACACCCTGAGCGCCCTTGGTGTTCATGTGCTGTGTCACCGAGGTGAGCGTGTGTGGATGTGATCATGCACTTGGCTGAACTGGCATGTTTTTCTGAACTGGGCCCAGTTTCCAGCAGCACTGACTCTCTGTTGTAAAATCAGGATGGTTGTAAAATCCTTTCTGTGTGTGTTCACCTGTGCCCTGGTGGCACTCTGCAGCTCCTGTGCTGGCTGGGGGTTTGTGGAGCTGCTGTGGTACAGGGAATATCGAGGAAAAACCTGTCCAGGATATGTCTGAGATCCTCCAAACACTGCATCACCTTCTGCTTTAAGATGCATTTGTGTCTGTGATACTTCTAAACAGATCATTTATTTTGAAAGTGTATTTAAAGGAAAAAGGTCTTTTGTTCTGTTGTCAATTTAGTTTTAAACTTCTCAAAGCTTCAGGCAGAGGCTATGGAAAGTTTTAGCCTGGGAGGAGAGTGGGGTGGAAGGGCTGGAACGAGTGAAAGCTGCTGCTGTAAGATCATTTTACAGCCTTTGGTGCTGCCAACTCTGCCCTTGCCACCCCTGAGAGCTGCCACCAAATGCTCTGTGAGCGTCAGGGCACCTCATGCCCCAGCCTGGGCAGGTCTGTGCTGCTGGGGAAGGGCTTCACCTGCTCCCTTGGCTTTTTTGGGGTGCCTGGATCCACATGGAGAAACACTGCAGTGCTCCCTCTTTTCTGTCTGGAGGAAACTCAAAGAGCTTGGCTTTTTGGTGAACCAGAGCTGAGAGGGGCAGGACTGAAGCCTATAAATACTTGGGGGAACAGAAGAGAGGGAAATTATTTATGTCCACCCAAGAACAATGTTGGCACAAGAAGGAGTGGGCAGAAACCAGCAGGAATAAACTTGGGCTGGAAACGTGAAGGTTTCCATCCAATGTAGGGGAATTGAGTGTCTGCAAAAAATGAGCAGGAATAAAAGCTTGAGCTGCTTCTCTGGAAACACAAAACTCCAGTGGGCTCATTTCTAGTTTTGAATACAGGGATGAGGTAAACTGGGCTGGACTTTTCAGCTGAAATGCAGTGGAGTGTATTGATCTCAGCTAAGGCAGATCCTAAATGCAGGTGAACTTTGCAGCCCTTCAGCCTTAAAAAAGCATTGGAGAGAAGGAAAAGTTTCCATTATTTTAATCAAACTTGTCTCTTTGATTGTGATCTTGCATTTCTGGAACTCACTTTTAAGTACAGAAACTTTCTAGAAATGAAACGCTTGCTTTTGCACTGCAGGCAGAAGCTCAGGTTCTGTGGATGAAACCAGAGGGATGTTCTGACTCCTCTGATTTATACATGAGCTGAAACTTCTTTTTTCCTGTAACTGAGCTGCTGTGAGAGAAAGGTCAGGGTGTCGAAACAGGAAGCCTGTGTGTGTACATGTAAATTTGTGTGCACAGCCCCCCTTGCACACCTGTGTGCACCTTCCTGTGTGTGTTTGTGGTGTTCACCTCCCCAGCATCTTCTCCAAAACGTGTCTAGACAATGCAGCAACAGCAGACCCAAGGAGTCTTCTCCTGTTTCATGTGCCACAACAAAAAACCCTGTGCTGGAGGAGAAATTAATTGGCTGTTACCTGGGTCAGCTTTGTTGGTTTTCTCCCTCTTCTTTTTGCTCTCCCCCACCATGAGCACATCTCCTCCCTCCCCACAGCTGCTTTCCTACCCTAAACATGTTGTGCTGGGTCAAAAACTTGCTCCTGCTCCAGGGGCTTGGAAGGGCCAAGCAAATCTGGCTCTGCTCACACCTCGGGGGGACCAATGAGGACATCCAGGTGTCACTGAAAGCAAAGTCTCCAACCCAGCTCCAGATCCATTCCCATGGGCACGAGGGATGCTGTAGCAGTCCCAAAACTGCTCATCCTGCTGTGGGCTCTCTGGGGACATCCCAACCCTCAGTCCTCTCTCCCATCCCCTGCTGTGGGTTCCCCAGGGACATCCCAGCCCTCACCCCTCTCTCCCACCCCTCAGGTTGCCACGACAAGGCTGTGCTGCTCTATGAGTATGTGGGGAAGCGGATCGTGGACTTGCAGCACACAGAAGTGCCGGATGCCTATCGGGGGAGAGGAATAGCCAAGCACCTGGCAAAGGTACGACCCCAGCCACCCACAAGGGCAAGAGCTGTTGCCATCCCAGCTGTGGCTAAAGATCCTGGCTGAAGCCAGGCCCCATCAGATTGGAACTGCACGTGTGCCCTGTGGGAATCCTGCTCTGCTGGGAGATGGGGTGGCTGGCGGGACAGATGGAAATCTGGGCTCAGACATTCCTGTTTCTTGTGGTAAGAGGAGCTGGGTAAGTGTCAGCAAATCCAGCCACTCGCCCAGGTCTGGCCCATTCCTCTTCTCAGCAAAAAACCCTTGTGCAGGGGCTGATGGTTCACCTCAGCTCAAGCCAGACCCCTCCTCTCAAACCTTCACTGCCCTCGTGAGCCCTTTGCCTGCCATGGGCTGTGCAGGGAGGGCTGAGGAGCCATGAGCACAAGGGTGGGGTGGTGCTTTGGGGTACAGCTGCTCCCTGATCCTGTAAGCAGAGACAAAGGGATGATGAAGGTGGTTTCACAGGATGGGCAGGGTCACCTGCAGCGCAGCATCCATGGGGCTGGATGTGTTCAGGGTTAAACTGGGGACTCTGTGGCAGGACAGCTCTGCTCTCCCCTTAAGCCTCTCCCTCCACCTGCCCTGCACAGGGGGTACCTGAGGGACCCCTGCTGCTTCCCCCATCTGGGTGAGGGGTACAGGACTCCAATGAGGCTTCAGAGGGGAGCAGAGGCTGGGAGTGCAGGTTGTAAAATCACCTGATCTCCGTTGGTTACAGGCAGCCCTGGACTTCGTGGTGGAGGAGGACCTGAAGGCCCACCTGACGTGCTGGTACATTCAGAAATACGTCAAGGAGAACCCGCTGCCGCAGTACCTGGAACACTTGCAGCCTTAAGGCAGGACTGCTCCCACACCAGCACAGCTGTCCCTGACTGTTCAACGCGGCCTTCGCTTCTCTGCAGTCTCAGGAAACCTTTTCCCACACTCACAATTCCCGTTTTTTTTAAGCGTGTCCACGCGGCGCGTGAGTGTGGGCACGACCTCCTCCTCTCTGCCCACGTGTGAGCATGGCTACAGCCCCTGGGCCAGGCTGGCTCTGGGCACACGTGATGCCCCCCAGTGCTTTTCCCAAGCCAGGGGATAGAAGAGGGTGATATTTCCACCAAACTCCATCGGAAGGCCAGGGGATGACTTGTTCTGCACCTCATCCTCTCCCCTCTGCTTGGCAACATCTCTGAACTTGCTGGGGGATGTTGGTTAGGGGTGGTCATGGGGTACCAGCCCCCCTTTCCTCCTGTCAGCTGGGGAGATGCTGTGGATTAAGCTTTGTGGGACAGAGGGAAGTGCTGGAGGTGCCCCAGCCCTGTGTCAGGTCCATCCCCTGTTGGGCACCAAGCTGTGTCCAAGCCCACATACAATCATACAAGAACATGTGGACCACGGTGGCACCTCGGGGGCTTTGCTGCACTGGCTGTGGAGACACTGGGATGGACACCTTCGAGCCTAGAGACAAGACCCATGTGAAGAGTGGACTTGGACTGCAGAGGCTGTGGCAGAGTCTGTGCAGAGGAAGAAATGTGGCTGAGTTGCAGATGCTTCTCCTTGGAGATGCCAGTTTCTGTACACAACCCTAAAGTGGCATCCCCACAGGGTCATGGACTGTTATTCCTGTCTCCCTGCCCTTGGTGTGGACACAGCCTGCTCAGGAGAAGAGCCCAGCCCCACAGCCAGCCCTGGCCTAAGCGATGAGAGACATCCCAGGGCACCAGGGTGGTTTCCTGCAGCTGAAGAGGAAGGCTCCCCTCATTCCCCCCATCTGCTCCATCTCTGCATCCCTGTCAGTGCCCCAGATCAGCCCTGTCGTGACATCCTGAGAGCAGCAGTGAGGCCTCCAGGACTGCTCCTGGCCCATCTCCAGGGTTCAGTGCTAGAGGCGCCTGCGTCCATGTGGATTCCGATGGTTTCTCCTTACAGCCTTTGGAAAGAAGCCCTGGCTCATGGCATTACCTGTCTGCTCAGTGGCCTCCTCACAGCTCCAAGCTCAAGACACTGGTGGCATCATGGGGACCTTGGCCAGCAACAGAAACACCCTCATTTTGTGAGGAACACCCTCTTACCTCCGTGGATGACAATTCTGTAGCACAACCCAGCATTGCCACACTCAGATGTAAAGGTAACACCCTGATGGCAGGGCACTGCCAGGTTCCAGCTTGCTGCCTGTCCTGCCATGCCTGGGTTTTCCAGGGCCTGAGCTACGCCTCAGAGCATCTCACACTGAGCTCTCAGGATTTTGCAGTGTCCCAGGGCAGGGCTGTGGTGAGGGAGGTGTTTTCAATACGCCCAGCCCTGAACAACACCTGGGGGCTGCAGCCAGGCAGGAGATGGAAAGCCTCTCACCTGGAGACCAAATCCAGACCTTGCTTAGCTCAGCAGGGACTAAAGTTTACAATCTGTGCCACGGAATGACTGAAACCCCAGGTGAGAGGCAGCTCAGCCCTTTCCCAGAGCCCAGCACAAAATCCATGGTAGCAGAGGCAAAAACTACAATCTTCTCTCCTGGATGGAGTGGCCAGAGATGGAGACCCTGTGCTAGGATTTCGGCCTGAGCTGTCCCTGGCCACCAGCTCGAGGTGAACCCTTGCTGCCTGCCTGTGCTTTTGGGCTGCCCATCACCAGCATGGTGCAGCCCTCTCAGGCTTCCAAACCTCCCAAACTCTATCCCTGCCCTGCACACTGCAGGCTGTGAGACCCCTGCCCATGCCCACCATCTGTGCCAGGGGTCAGAGCCACCTCGGCCTTATGTGACTCAGGAAAGGCCTTGAGCTCAGCCCTGCCTCTGCTTCATTTCTGCTCTCCTGCTGCTTATTTCACCCAGGCTGTGACCTTTAGGGTGGCTTCGAGGGACTGGGAAAGGGGGCAGGTAACAAACTAAAGGGACTCAAGAAGAAATGTGGGCTGCTAAATGTTCCTTCTTTAACATGCAAGACACACTTCAACAAATAGTTACAGGAGCAAGGCTGGCTCTGGTACTGCTGTGATGACTGAACCATCCCTTCTCTTGATTCCAAGGTGAAGCTGAACTGTTTCCTCCCCTGGAAGCCAAGATAACACACTTGTGTCTTTGCCACAGCGGGGCTGGGTGCTCGGGAGCGATGTTTGAGCCCAGTGCTGTGAGCCTCTCTTCTGGTTTTGTGCTCATTTCCACTGTGTGCAGTCTCCAGCAGCTCCCTGTTGTGTCAGCTCACTGGAGGGTGTGCTGTGCTGTCTGGGCAGTGTCCCAGTGTCCAGCCTGGCTCTGGAGCCCCTCGTGCTGCTCTGGCAGGAACCTCGTGCTTCCCGGCGCTGGATCACCCGCAGCGATCGCTGCCTTAAATCAGGCACAGCACACGGTTTTGCTGCTGCTTCCCTTCGAGGTGCTACAACCCCCCCGGCGTCTGACCCGACAGAGACATGTGCCAGTGTCTGTGCCAACCATTTCTCTGCTGTGTCCATGCTCTGTCCCAGCCTTCCCTCCTCCTCGATGCCAGTGAATAGCAATACCTGCAGGTCACCAGCGTTGCTGCAGTCCACGGTGCTCCTGTGACCCTGCACGGCCGGGTGGAACCCGGCTTGGGGTCCCTCGGTGCTGGGTAGCCCTTCCCTGCCTCCCCACCAGCTGCCTTTTCCCAGCTGGTCTCTGCAGAAAGGAGCTTTGAGACCTGTGCTGCCCCTTGGTGCTGATTAAGCCTGGAGGAGTTTGGGATCTTGGACTTTTCCCCGGGCAACAGGAGTGTGGAAGTGGTTTGGTTGAATATTGAGCTCCCCAAACCCGTTTGAACTGCAGACCTTTGGTGGGTGGGTGAATGCAGGTGGCTGTCAAACCTGCTTCCACAGCCCCCAACTTGAAACACCCCTCCCTTATCCGCTCTCCAGCATTGTCTTCCTCTGTCCAAGGTTTCCGTTCTGTTGGATTCGGTGGTTACGATGTGCCTTTCCTTCTCAGGACCTGTTACAAACAACCTTTCTGCTCTTGTTTATGTTTAACATTTATCTTGATCCCTCCCTCTGTCATACTATAAAACATGAACATAATGCATGGAATACAATACAATAAAAGTGTGGCTTAACTGAGCTGCAGTGGCTGTGCTGTGCTGGGGGGACCACATGGTCCCATTGAAAATGAACAGTAGGTAAGGGGTGAAATTACTGTGTTTTGTTTGAGGTCACAGGGCTGGCTGACCTCGTGCTGACTGTGCAGAGCTCAGGGTGAGTGGGATCACAACTGGTTCCTCTCCTTTGCCAGCTGATCCAGCCCTGCTCACCTTCATTATTCCTCCTTGAGATTTCAGGCCAGTCTTTGGGAGTTGTCCTGCGAATGAGCAAGTAGTGTGTTTATGTCCACTGTTTTAAGATGGACATGAAAATACTTAAATATCCAGCAGCTGTGCTTGTCCAGAGGAAGGTGGGCAGGCAGGTGACTTAGAGGGACACAAGGCCCTTCCCTCCTGGAGCCAGCACTCCTCCGGGCTGGGAGCACAGCCTGAGCACTCCTAGCAGGGCATTTGTGTCACTTCCCAATGCTGTGTGAAGGCTACAGAGGCTGAGGCTGGAGTTTGGATAACTCAGATTGCCAGGAAGGTTGGTGTAGAGAACAGGTATGATTTGATCCAGCATGACAAGCTGCTGCTGGGCTGCAGCAGGAGCCTGGGGTTTGCTGCTCCCAAGGGACAGCACGGGCGGTTGGGATCTGTAGCTGGGCTGTTGCTGGTAACACACTCTGTTTACATTCCACATTCCAGACAGTCCATGCTCCGGCCTGTCCCAGCACTGCTGCACGTTCTGCCGGGCTGGGCACGCTTCCCAAACACCTCCTTGTTCCTGTGAATGCAGAGTTTACCTCCCCCGAAACAGCTGCCCCCCAAAATACAGCTGAGAGAGCAGCGGTGTGGGAGGGCCCTGTAGGCTGGGAGAACAGCCTCGGGATGCCTGGGAAGGTGGAGGCAGCCAGGGGTTTGTTCTCTTCAGTCCCATTACATCACTTGGGAATAATGTCAAAAAGAGGCTTTTTCTAGGAACGGGGGATGCAGAGCCAGCGCTGCTGTCTCCTGATGTGTGCTGTCAGGCTGGAGGAGGGCTCCAATAAAGGGGGGGGATACAGACAGGGAGCTGCTGATTGATAAGGGAAAACTTCAAATTCCTGAGAAAAAGGCTCCTCTTCTGGGAGGAATCCGGCCGGGAGCAAGAGGGAGCCCTGCAAAGGCTCAAGCATCCTGGAGATAACCAGTCCAAGCACCGTGCACAGGTCGCCCACAAAACCTTCGGACGGATCCACAGGAGCTGGGAAAGCTCTGGCAGTACCAAACCTACATTGCAATTCTAGAAAAGCGTTTGGTTATAAACTTTGTATTGACCTGATGATCTCGAGGTCTTTTCCTAAGTAATTCTGTGATCTATTCCTCCTCAGAGATGCAGCAGGGGAGCCTCCCCATTCACTGCCCCTCCTTCGAGATTGATTAAGGGGGCGAAATTCACCCCCAAACCGCCCAGCCTCTCCTCCCAGGGAGGGAGGATCCTCCATCCCTATTCCCCCGCAGGGAAGGAACCTCCTGCGTTTTTTGGATTAGGAGCACGAAGCGATGCTGGCCCTGCCGAGCGGCGCCGACCATCGGCAGCCCATCCCCTCATGGCGGGGCCGCGGGGCAGGCTGGGACTCATCGCCGCGCTCCTCCCACCGGGTGGAAGATCCCGGGCGGCGGGGCCGAGCCGAGGCGGTGACGGGCCGGGCTCTGCCACCGGTGACGGGGCTGTGGCGAGAGGTCTCACTGGGGTCCCACCGCGGTACCCACCCGGCCCCACCGCCCCCGTCCAAGGG